TAATACACAAAATCTACATGTTGTTTCTGTTTAGTGGCATCAACCACTATGGGTTATTTAATGCCAAAATCTAAATATTTTGATTGGTTTAGCGGCATCTAGACACCTCTTTGGATTATTTAATGCCGAAATTTAAATATTTTGTATGTAATTTTATTAATTTTTTTTATTGTTTTTTTTTTCTTTTTTTTTTGAGGTGGGGAGATAATGGTTTTAGTGATACAAGTCTTACTAATTAACCCATAGCTGTGGGGAGAAGTAGATTCATGTCTTTTCTCAAAGGTATTTGTGCATAAGTGAATATAACGAATTGCATCTTGACTCTTCAATTAACAATTCCAAGCCATTATCCATTGCACCACCTGCACATCTAGGCTTATAGCACCTGTTATTCTCAAGCCGTCACCCATCTGGGTCCTGACCAGGCTTCTAACTTTGGTGATCATATGGGAACTGTGATTTCAACATGTGACCATAAGCCTACAAAATGTAAAGTGAATATCTCTTACCTGTTAACTCTCTTTAAAGTACAAGTGGATATTGAGTCAGCTGTATGCCTAGTGAAATTTACAAGTATCTTAAGTAAGAGTTAATGTATTATTTTATACTCTTTGACACATTTTGGTTAAATGCAATGAACATTTTCGTTTCAGGTTTTTCCTGATGAGTTCCATTTGCAGACTCTAAATGGTTTCTTGCGTGCATGTGCGGAGCTTCAACAAGCTGTCAATATCAACAATATCATCATTGCTTTGATTGAAAGGTGAGTGACTTATCCAGTGGCATAGGTAGAGTGTGTGCCACCCAGGGCAACCCTCAATTTTGACACTAACCCCTACCCCCACAGAAAAAAAAATGCATATTACACAGTGAGTCCCTCTAAAATTATAAAATTAGTTTATATACCACTATATTACTTTACACAAATATATTATGCTTTAAATACACTCCAAACATACTTAAATGTTATCAGTAAAAAAGTGTTAAAAAAAAAAATTAAGGCCATCTTCATTTCTAAAATGAAAATTACAACTTTCTATAAAGTAAGTTTTTTTTTTTTTTTTTTTTTTTTTTTGTTGGCATTGTCAAAAACTATTTTATCTGTCGGTTGTTGCTCTATCGACCATAGATAGGACAATATACATGCCATACATTACTTGAAATTGAAAATATCTTCAACTATGAGTACTGTCCCCCGACATTAAAACCACTTTTATTTCAATACATGCTTATAGCCTACAGCAGACACAAAAGTGCCACTCAGGGCAGACCGCCCCACCCCCTCCCCACTAGCTATCCCAATCCATTTTCATTACACATGATTTTGTCGTTCATTCTAACCTGAAATTTTTTGCAGGCTCAACGGTACCTTTTACCCTGAATATAAAGGCTAATTATTTAATATAAAATGTCAAATTTCTAATTTAAGATTTGTAAGTTAATGCACTTTATTTTTTCTGCCTGGGTTTCTGGGATTAGAAGTTATCATTATTTCTTGTTATTTTTATTTGGACTAATATCTTCATCTTGTTATTATCACAACATTTTATTTGAAATTTCCTGACGTTTACTTGGATCAACAGATGACCAGAAGGCACAACATCCAAAATGTGATAGTAACAACGAAGATGAAGATATTAGTCTGACTGTAAATAATAAATTTTATATATTTTATAATTCTATAAATGTTTTTTATTTTCATTTGGACAGGCTTAATTCTGTTATGTCTTTCAATTTCTGTATGTTATGGATGCTGCTCCAAGCCCTATTTAATAACTGGGTATAAAGGCAACAAAATTTTTTTGTTTTTTTTATCCCTCTATAAAAATGAGTTAAAAAATGAAATTTTTCTCTCATTTCCATCAGCAGAATATTACTGAAATTTCTTTTCAAATATCTAAAGAAAAAATTAGTGGCTTTCTTTGGCCAAGAAAACAACCAAAAAAAGTAACCCAGACAAGCTCTTTTCCATAAATGTCAACAGTTCACACAAATTTTATTTGACAAGTTGTGGGCATCTCACAAATATATAAGTTCTTGCTGTTTGATAGATGTTTTTATTTATTTTTCTTTCTCTCTCTCCCATTAACTAGTAACCTGTTAGTTAAGTTGGAGACTCACCTGACATGTACAGATTTTGGCTTATGGAGTATTACTTTCAGTTTTATTTCTTTTGCTCCCAATGTATCATATCGGCCATCTTTCTGCCACAAAGACTTTTACTGACACTTTCTAAATATTTTAACTGTCTACCCTAGTCACGTGTCTAGTGACTATATACACCCTGATGTAATTTTGTATATCATTTTATTTTAAAAGGGGTCACTTTGTCTGCCAGTGAAAAAAAAGTAGTCTTACTTGAGTTCTTGGTTTATATAGAGAATGTCCTGCAAATTTCTGTGCGACCTCAAACAATCATTGACTTTCCGACTTATATATAGGCCAAGTGCCCAGAACAACGGGACAAGTGGTTTTCTTGTTCACTCCAGTGTGTGAAGGACAGTTTTCTGACCTAACGACTTACAGATTTGCAGATTTTTGTTCTTATTTTTGTTATTTCTTGAACTCTTCAGCTACAGTGATGCAAGTTTGTTTTCACAATAAAATTACTATTAGCCAACCAATGTTGGGAAAATTCATAAGCATAAGTTTCTACTGAGCATAAAGTGGGAGATTGGTTGCTGAAACAGTTGGGGGGGTGATTTTGTTAAGTGACCTGACAACCTCTATGGGCTACTCAATGCTGAAATTCAAATATTTTGTATGCAACTTTATGGCTTTAACCATAGACATTTTCTATGCAGTTCCATACTTTGAGAGTGAATGCCTTTCTTTTTTTTTCTCCTTTTTCTTTTTTTCCTTTTGCTTTTTTTCCTTTTTCTTTTTTTCCTTTTTCCTTTTTTTCCTTTTTCCTTTTTTTCCTTTTTCCTTTTTTTCCTTTTTCCTTTTTTTCCTTTTTTCTTTTTTTCCTTTTTTCTTCTTTCTTTAATTTAGAGATATAGTTTATGGATAATACAATGTATACTACTTACTTCTATAAGTATTGGAACCAGCCTCATAAAGTGGGAGATCACTTTCCTGATATTATTGATCCACTCCCTTCCAGAATTACTATACAATAAAATCAGTATTAACTGTTGGCAGCATTTTTAAGGGTGTATTTATACAAGCAATATCTTGTGTGAGATTCAAATTATAATATCTATTTTACTGTTCTACTGATTACTCTTCTATTATTCTTGCTCCTTAATAATGTTTCTCATTTTTTTCTTATTCTTTTACACTCCGTAACCCCTTGTGTCTTAGTAGCTCTACTGCCTTGCATGTGATAAAAAAAATTTTAAAATTGTTATTGTGTCATGTTTTATTATGTAAATAAAGTGCAAAATAAATTTATAACTAAATACAAGATATAAACTATTGTATTGTGTTCTATGACACGTGATCAGTAGTCCACTTCCACCTGTCTCTTTACTATGCACTTTATTTCTTTTCTACTTAAGGTATGCAAATAGGTAAAATCCTATTTACCAATCCACTACATATACCCATAGCAACATTTAATTAACACCATATACCTGAATAATAAGTTTTTTTTTATTATCTTGTATGTTAATCTCGGCTTCCTGGCATTCTATGACTTTCATTAGTCTTTCAATCATTTTGTTAATTTTTTATACTGTTTTGACTTTGACATTACTTGCAGTGGTTTTTATTACTTTTCAGAAATTATCTTTGCTTGAATAGTTTTCAATACGTCTTTTTCAATAATGAACCACAAGTCTTCTATTCGATTATTATCTTGTGAAGCTAGGCACCATTCCATTAATTTGGTGTCTTTGAAGCCTCTTTATTTTTTGTTCAGTATCTCAGATTCTTTCAAGAAAGAATAAAAGAATTACATACTGGGCTTTTTGTCTTTGCTAATAATGATGATTATTTTCTTGACAAATAAATTTGATTTTTCTAACATTCAAACAGGATTTTTGTTCCATCTCCAAAAATGTGACATTACTTTCCAAACAGCATCATACCGCATCCTGTCAGCATGTCTACCATCAAGACGTAAAAGAATTAGTTTAATTCTGGGCCTTTTCTTTGCTAATAATGACAATTACGGTACTGACAAATTTAATGTTTCTTACATTTGAATGAGATTTCTATTTCATCTTTTGAAATGCAACATTACTTTCCAAACATTATCATACCATATCCTGTCAGCATGTCTATCATCAAGTAGTAAAAGAATTAGTTTCATTCTGGGCTTTTCTCTTTGCTAATAATGACAATTATGTTCTTGACAAATTGATGTTTCTTACATTCAAACAGGATTTTTATTCTTTCTCCAAACATCATCATACATTATCCTGGAAGCACATCTATCATCAAGGAATAAAAGAATTATTTTCATCTGTGGCGATCTTCACTAATAATGATTATGTTCTTGACTAATAAATTTAAATTTTATGACATTTGAACTAGTTTTTATTGTCTGCAAAAATATAGCATTATATTCCGAATAAGCCAACTGATGTACTAATATTTTTCTGCTTTTAAAGTGTCAAGTTTTCACTTGGAAAGCTTATAATTTTGGAAGTTTTTGATGACTCAGACTTTGTTGTTATAAAATTTTTATTTTATTATTCTTTTCTTCAAGGTTAGCTCACTATGCTCAGAATGAAGAAAGCACTGGAATCCCTGCAGACATTCCTCTTTTTGACATTTTCACACAGCAGATTGCTTTAATTATACAGGTCTGTACAATTCCAACAATAATATATGATCATTTGTCCATCATAGAAGAACTAAATTTTTCTTTTAATATACAACAGTAAATAAATATACCTCAGGATTTAACTGATTAAAAAAGTGTTTATTTTACACAAACATTTGTTTTTTAAATATAATCTCTTTGCCAATGCACTTAATTCCCTGGTGAATATTAATCACAATAATCAAACATTATACAGTGAAAATTTCAAATCAAAATTCATTTAATAAATATGGGTCAGACTACACTCATTGATGTGCCTTTGTATAAAAATATGGTTTGTAGTTTGAAAATCAAGTACTTCAAAATGTACACATACAGAGAAAAATTAATAAATTAATTGCTTTAAAAAATGATATAATTAATTTACTTGCAAATTTTTATTTTTATCACAATGTTTTGGCCATTGTTCCTCTAACCTTCATCAAGTGCTTCTCGATCTGGGTAACTTTCAGAGAATTTCAAACTAAACCCTTTATGTAATGTATGGGAGTAGATTGTTCTCATTCCACTGACCAGGACCAATTTATAATCAACTGCTACGAGAAGAGTAGTATTTATATGCTCTAAGAAGTATTTGTCAATACCATGTCCCTTCATAACATAATGATCATGACTGTCCAAAGATTCCTTTTTTCTTTATTCTCTGTGAATTGCTATTGTTTCTTGGGAAAAATAGTGGAGTGGTTTCCCGTTGCCTTCTCCACAGTGTCCATTCAATACATAGGCCATCATGGCTCTCCAGATTTTTTTTTTCTTTTTATTCTCTGTGAATTGCCATGACTTCTTTTGGAAGATAGTGGAGTAGTTTGCTGTTGCCTTCTCCAGTTTTGAATTTGGAATCAGCGAGATAGAATCAGTTACACTTTTAATAATAATAATAATAATAAGTAGGGAAGGATTGGAGAAAAGTGAGGAAGCGGAGGAGGAGTAGGAAAGTAGGCAACATGAAAACAAAGAAAATTAGATGAAAGAAGGAAAGAAATTATATTTTAGATACACTGATTAAAATAATGTAAACTTAAAAACTTCTGTCAGCAAAAAAAAAACAAAAAAAACCTAAGACCTCAAACCCATGCTAACTTAACTGCAACAGTAAATTTCTGCACAGATACAAAATAGCCATCATAAATAATTTCATAAGTATTGCATATTTAAAATCCTCTATAGCGGCTTGAATTGAGGAATCGAATTCCAGTCGAATCCATTACATTCACTTATGTGCTAATACCCTTGGGAAAGGTACGTATCCTCCTCTTCTCCTCCCAGCTATGGGTAAATAGCGGGACAGACCGGGTTCTATAGCCTTGGATGGCAACTGGTCTACCACATAAAGAAATGGCAACCTACTGTAGAGAAAAAAAAAATTTGCCTCGTCAGTCATGTATCAAAAGATACATGATCGCCTAAGCGTGTATCACACATGGCACATAACTGTCTGATATGCACAAGTTTGAAAACATCAAACATTATCAATAATTTACCCAGCTACATAATAGTTAAACTAACCTTAGAAAAAATAAAATTAACAGTAATACAAATAACACAACATGAAATTATTCTATACAACTTTGCAATAACTGCAAGCAAACTAGGCAAAAAAAATTATAAAAAGCCTTATTCATTGTTACATATCACCTATTAACAAAACAGATAAAATTTGTTACAAAAACTAAAAACCTTCAACATGATCGCCACCAATGATGCAAAAAAACAAAATTAAAACTTTAATAAACCAATGTTGTCTCTGCATTCACTTATCCACTAGAAGAATGTCTCTCTCATAAGAATTCAAATAACAAAAAAAAAAAATACATTGGTTACACAACTACTATATTATCATGCCAGTTAACTTGCCATCTATCATATAAAAGCGCTGTTGAATTGCAGATCACCAATTAGCACAAAAAATCAACAAAAAAAATCTGACAAATCTTTACCAATAATACACAAATACTATACTACTATAGGTTTTTTTTTTTTTTCTTCTTTTTGTTAAGTGTCAGTGATACATCTGTGGGATGTGCACCATAATGGATAACATCTCAGAATGAGAAGTTGGAGAGCTGAGTTCAAATTCCAGTTGAGTTTATATACATTCACAAATACCCTTGGGAAAGATATGACTCCATCTCTTCTTTCAGCTATGTGTAAATAGTAGGACAGACTGAACCCTATAAGCCTTGGTTGGCAAACAGTCTAGAAGGAAATTTCTGAATTCAAACCAGCCTGGAGAGGGTTGGGCTCTCTCAGGCTAACTTGCCTAAAGATACTAAATAGCTGTTATGGTTGCAGTACATGTAGTACCCTTACAACCCGTCAGAGGTTACAGGACTTGTGATCATCCATGGCTGACAATATTTTTCATAGACTGTTCTTTTTCTGACAGTAATTATACCCCTAGAAGTTACCATTTTCAAAAGTTTTTCATTGAACAGAACACATCTATCAGAAGATAGATCCTAGTAACTCCCTGTCCAGTGTCTTCACAAGTACCTTCAACCAACAAATTAAAAAAGACCATTATAAAGAAACATTGTTTGATAGTATCAAATGTAACAAGTTTCTTGATTGGCTAATGTACTAATGCAAATGTTATATTTATTTGTATATATTGTTTAAAAGTTGCTGCAGCTACTTGAATAGACAGTAGATCAAATCAGGATTTTTCAACTTGGGTGATAAGTTGTCAATGGTCAAGTTTGCTTTCATTTGTTCTTTAATACGGTTGTAGCAGCAGCAGCCGCCACCACCGTTGCCCTTGCGTCCGCATAAATCAGCTTTATTTGTTACCTTCCTTTGGAATTTTGTACTCGATCATAAAGCCAGTTTATGAACCAGTAATAAACTTTGATCAAACAATCTTGGTATGCGTTTGAATATTTACTGCACAGGTAGACAATGGAAAAATTTTTCCATGTGAAAGTGGTGATGACGTAAAAAAGGTTTGGAACCTCTGAGTTAAAACTACATTGTTACACCCGGTTTCATTTGCAGGAATTCTTTAGATACCAATATTCTTTGAATGTTCCATCTTGTAGAAAAATAGCTTGTGTTTTCTTCTATTTTTTCCTTTTCTTATCCAAACTCATTTGTGTTTAAATCCATAGTTCTTTATTCCTTCTAGTTTCTTTTTTATTCCTTTTCAGAATCGGCCAGACATGCCAGCAGAAGATATTGTAGCTTTGCAGGTGGCTCTTATTAAATTGGCTCTTAAATGTTATCCTGACAGAGTGGATTATGTTGACAAAGTTTTAGAAACAACTGTGGAAATATTCAACCGCTTACAGTTAGAACAGTAAGTAAAAATATTTTTGGTAATATAGCAGTTATTATCAGCCATTATTAACAATGTTAAATGCTGAGACCTGAGCACCACTTTCCAGTATTCTGTCTCTGGGAAGTTTGGGTAAATTTCAATATATAAGAATTACTTCTGCAACAGTACAACTCAACAGTGAGGACTAGCTACAAAGCTAATATAATGGTAAACAACAAATTTAAATAAAAACCTAAGAATTACTGCCAGTTTCATGCTTAGGCCAACGTTCAGGTTAAGATTGTTGAAAACAGATTGACTTAGGTTGAAATAAGCATTTGCATCTCGTTTTAATTACAAGAAATATAAGCAGTCAGTTGCTATACCTCCTGTATAGTGGACAAATGGGTCTGTCCACGAAGGTCTGGAATCAGGATACTGAAGGTAACATCAATCAGCTAAGTTACCAAGTTTTTTTTTTTCTCTCTTTTCTCTCTTTTCCTCTCTTTTCTCTCTCTTTTCCTCTCTTTTCTCTCTCTTTTCCTCTCTTTTCTCTCTTTCATCCCTCTTCTCTCTCTTTTCATCCCTCTCTCTCTCTCTTTTCATCCCTCTCTCTCTCTCTTTTCATCCCTCTCTCTCTCTTTTCATCCCTCTCTCTCTCCTTGTGTCACTAGATAGCATAATTGCTTTGCATGTGTCATTAAAACATATAACACTATTTCTGTTAAGGTAGTTATTTGTCTTTTGGTATTTTCTTCTCAAATTGTTTCTCTTGGTTTTCAATTTTACTTTTTATTTTTGTCACTTGGCAAGTTTTGTGTTGGTTTTACCAATACTTTCATTTGTTATATATAATGTGTGTGTGTGTTTGATGAGAATCTGTTAAAATATAAACTTCAATTTGATATGTTTTGCCATGAAATAAAATTATTTTTCTGATGATTCCAATTCACCAATAAAACTTGTCAAATTGAATTTTATAAATTCTTATATAAACTTGTAGCACATATCTACCTATCTACTGAACTCCTTCTAGGGTTTTGGAGATAAACCCCCATAATGACATGCTCTATAGCACATCTTAAGACTATATTTCTTTATATATATATATATATATATATATATATATATATTATGAAATGAACAAAGTCCGACAATTATTCTTTAAGACATTTTTATGTTTATACATTTTTTTTATAGATACAAATATTTTAGTAAATGCTCTGTTTATAATAAACAGTATTAAACAACATTTACTAGCCTGAATGTCAGAGAAATTTTCATAGAAAATATTCGTCCTCCGACAGGAATCGAACCTGTATTTAAATATTTGTATCTCTAAAAAGAATGTAGAAACATAAAAATGTCTTAAAATAAATATATATATATAAAAGAAGTGTGGGGGGATTATAACAACTTGATCACATGTACTCACTAAAAATAACATTTACATAAATATATCTTATATATAATTGTGAGTGTGTTTGGCCAGTGATATTTTACAAGATTTCTAAACAGAATTATTTATTTGGAATGCCGTGAAAAGAATTTTTTTTTTTTTTTTTTTTAAGGTAAATTAAAAAAAAATGTTATTTTAAATTTTCAGCCTCAAATATGGTACCCCAGTGTCAAAGGAGTTGATGCACTTGCTGAAGATTCCTATAGATACCTACCACAATTTACTGACCGTGCTAGAATTAAAGAATTTTGGCCCACTATTTGAATGCTTTGATTATCACGGTCGTAAAACAATGAGCGCTTTCCTTATCAACAGTGCCCTTGAGAATGATACAAAGATCCCAACCCCTGACCAGGTGAGATATTTTGAACCTTGAATGTATTTAGGGCAACCCACCAATATTTGATAGGTTATCTATTTGGTAGTAATATTTCCATTGTACTAGTTTTTGCCTAGTCTTTTCAACTTTATCACAACTTGATTGACTGTTTTTAGTGGGAAGTTTATTATAAAGTAACTTGCATTTTAGGCTTGAACCTGCTTTAACTATCCTTACAATGCCTTAATCAGTTCAACCACAGAAACCTATAGATTGATGGGATACAAATCTTGCAGTGATAATACCACTTATACTCCAAGTATTGGCATTATATTTGGTTTAAATAAAACATACTTGTGCTTATCACAATAACTGTTATGTAGTGGTTTCACAGTGGAGGCTTGTATTTGTACTAAGTCGGTCCTAAAATAGGTTCGACATACAAAATGTTAGGAACTTCATATAATAGGTATGTATCCGACTAATATATATATATATATATTATACACTGTTACATTAGAACATGAAAGTATTCACTACAAAATTTTACATTTAATTTAAATGTTTAAATAAAATATCTCTTCAGGTGGTTAACAATGATGGTAATAAACAATCTTATTTTAAATTGCAATTAATAAAAAATTTTCCATAAATGGTAAAAAGGATTTATATAAAGAAAAAGGAAAAAAATAAGAAATCAATAAAAGAAAAAAGTAAGAGGAAAGAAAAAAAAAAAGGCAAGAGAAAGCATAAGAAATTAATCTTACTACCAAGAGAATAGACAAAAAAGAAAGGCAAAAGAAATAGAGGAGTATATTCAAAATTACACAGATATTTATTGGTTTACTTTTGTATTGAGCCCTATTTTTAATGTTTTGAACATTGTAATTTTATTCTTCATTCTTTTACACACACACACACACATATATATATATATATATATATATATATAAGGAAATTACACTGAAAACATGTAAAAATCGCTACACAATTAGTCATGTTTCTTTTAAATGTTACAAACATTGGAATTGTACTCTATTTATTCTCATCATACCTGGAAATTGCATAGAAAAAAAATGTTGACTTACCTTGCTTGTCAGAACATTTCTGTGTAACATGGTGATAAAAAAAGAAAACACTTCTCCACTGCATGACTTCTTTACTCCATTCACTAATGCTTTTCTTTTCTACTGGGCTTGTGGCTGCTATTAAATTTTTGCTGTCATTTCTTTCTTTATCATTGACTTCCATATTGTATTTATTTCTATACTTGGCCTATTGAGAGGGTCCTCAGCCTAGTATGTAGACTGATTCTTTTAGACATCTGACTCTCCAGTGTTCTACTGGAGAGTCAGATGGTATTCTGATATTTGAAGCTCTCTTTCCATGTCAAGTAATTTATGAGCAAAACATTTTACAGATGTTTTTTTTTTTTTCCTTGTAATTAGGTGGATACAATACTGAACATAGTTTCCATACTGATAGTAGACCAGAGTGATCAGCCTGATGAGCCAGATGACCCTGAGGATTTTGCTGAAGAGCAAGGCCTGATGGGAAGATTCATACATCTGATGGTGTCCGATGATCCGAACCAACAATTTCATGTAAGCTATACTTAATCTTTGTTTACACAAATAGTTTTTGAGTTAAATCTATTTTGATTTGTAAAGATTTATAATAGTCTGAAATTGTCTCCAAATATATGTGGCACAAATATATATCTAACATTTAATAAAAAAAAAAAAAAATTATGACTTTCATAATATCCTTAACTATTGTAGACTTAATTACTTATGGGAGGTGTTAACAACACTGACTTGTGTCATCAAAAGAACATTTCCAATGTAGCAAATGAAATTGGCTAAGATTATCCAAAATCATTTGTGTAGTCAGGGTGGCACATTTTTGAAAGCCTGACACTACAAAATTTTGAATTGACTTTCCTCTCATTGGTAACTCAAGGTTTTTTTTGTTTTTTTTTGAATTGGTAAGGGGTTACAGTGGAAGAATTAGGAATAAACATTAATAATGAGAGAAAAGAGTAATCAAGAGGACAGTAGATAGCGATTGACATTGCATTTAAGTTTTTGCAGATTAAAGTTGGCTGGAACACATGGAGCTGGGAGTTCCACAACTGAGAAGTGCAAGAAAAGAAACTGTTAGCATAGAATTTATGGTTACATCTACCCAACTGAACAGTAAATTAATAAGATCTCAATGCCAGTCTACTGTGTTTAAATTCAAAAAGTCTAGGTACCATAGCAAAGAGCTCATCTGAACAATTACCAGGAAAGACACAGTTAGCTTTTTTTAAAAGTACCCCAAAATGTTGGATATAGAAAAAATAAAAATTTAGTAACACTGGTATTTCAAAAGTAGCTATTCTTGTAACTGTGCCTGCAAGTGGTATAGTGTGGGTGGGACAAGAAGAATGACTACACCAGGTGCTAAAATTTTAAGAGCACAAAAATTTAATTAGGTTTAAAAAATATGTATGAGACTAGAATTTATAACAGCACATGGCTAAAGAGGGACCACAATAGTTTAAATTTCCCCAGGTGCTCAAAAGCTATGCTATGCCACTCTCTATAAGTATATTTTCCATAGTAGAGAAATATATAGAATCTACTATAGTAAAAATGTGAATTTTTTTTTGTTCTTAAACAAAACTGCCCCCCTATTTAAACTTTAGTAACACTGGGCTCTCAAAAGTAGCCATTCTAGAAAATATTCTTGTAAGCATGTTTTCTAGAGTAGAAAAAAATATATGGAATTTATTATGACAAAAAATAAGATCAATTTGTTAACTGATTGTAAAATAAAACTGATACACCATTGAATGCCCACTTATTTGACAATTAAATATTTATCAAAGTTGATAGACTGTGCTATAAGTCGTAAGTTGGGCTACATACTAAATATTGAACTGGCTGTTTCTCATTGGTAACACAAGTTAGCCTGGATTGTTTTAAAAGTAGCTCTTCCAAATTTGCAAGTAGTGAAAACCAAAATTTAGTAGCATTTGCCTTTCAAAAGTAGCTCAGTCTCGCAATCCTGTATCCAATGTCATTAAAGAAAAAAGAAAAAAAATAGAAAAGTGTGTGATGAGAATTTTTATGATTTTTTTGTTCTTAAGGTGTTATTGGTAGAAGTATGTGAGATATATATATATATATATAAATAGAATTAGAGAAAAATAAAGATCATTTATTCCTTAACTAGAATCCAATACTTTTATTTTTTTGTATAACAGAATCAAATTTAGGCAAAGCTTTCGTTTGCTTTTGATGTTTCTTTCGGTTTTTAAAAAAATATTTTGTCTTAAAATTATTGAACAGATATTTGGTTAATGTTTCTGTTTATTCCTTTTTACAATAAATATTTTCTGACCATTTCAGTAAATGTATGTGCTTCTTTTTTTTTTTTTTCTTGATAATTATCTACATTCCTTAATTGGTAATTTTTTAACATATTTTAATACTTGACCGTTACATTTTTTTTTTTTTTTTTTTTTTAATTTTTTTTCCTCATTCCAGATTCTAAACACAGCTCGTAAACACTTTAGCAATGGTGGCAATGCTCGGATCAAATACACTCTACCTCCTATTGTTTTTGCTGCTTATCGTTTGGCTTTTCTTTACCATTCTCTTCAGAATGATGTAAGTAGATTTTTTTTATATAGGTAAGCACATGCTTTCCAAATAAACCTTATGACAGAAAAAAAAATCTTCATTGGCATGGATTCACATACATTTATGGAATAATCCTCCATTTTTACCCTCTCTTAAACACATCCATCCCAATTCTGAGTTTGCACATGCTTTTGTTTTATATGTGGAAATAAAATATATTTTGGCTCTTTTATTTTTTAACAAAGAAATTGGTCATTTATAAACGAAATTGCATTGTATCTGAATAAAGTATAAAATTAATGCGGAATTAAATTTATTTTTTTTACAATTAACCAGTGTGTGTAATATATATATATATATATGTATGTATGTATGTATGTATATATATATATATATATATATATATATATATATATAATGTCCCAATAAGTGATTAGTCAGTGAAATTTTGATACAATATGGGAAATTTTGCTTTTGGAGAAGAGTTGGGCTAAATTTGCTTTTGCATTTATTTTATTTTTTTTTTTACTTTTGCAATGCATATTCAAACACCCATAAAAATTGAAATAAAAAGAGACAGTTATTCAAACTTAGGGTATGAATTCCCCAAATACTATGTAATGTTTTCTCAATGTTTTGGTCCCTATGAACTTCATCACCCTTAGCAGAATGAGTCAATATTAGATCATAATTGCAAAATTAACATGAATCAGAATTTTTGAGGAAAAACTATGAAGAAATCTAGGATTGGTATCTTTGTGAGGCAGGTAAGGAAACTTATTGGGATTTATTTAATACTATAGTTTTCAAATGTATCACTTTTTGCAACTTTTAGGGGCTGAAGATATTTCTTCATTTTTGTTTGTGGTTGACCACCTAAAAATGTCAATTTTTTTTTTTTTTTTTTTTTCCCCACCAGAAAACTGCTAATATCTACTTCTTAGTTACTTCCTGTAAAATTATAAATGGATATTGTGGCAGACATGAGACAGAACCTGGGACCAGCACAACTGGTCGCGACTTGCCTTGTCCCCCAAAAAAAAAGAGCCTGTATTTGCTTAGCATGTAAAGCTACTGCAGTTGAAATGAGGGAGAGAAAAAAAGCACTTACCGCTCTGCCGTAATCCATCCTTGGCCAGATAACTTAAAAAGAATGAGGGGGACTGGCATCGCATTTTTATGCAATAACGATGCAATGCATTATGGGACATGGACGCAATGAATTATGGGATCACGTGAAGACGCAAGGGATTATGGGTACATGAACAATTATAAAAAGAACTACTTTTTTCCGAGTCGGGAGTTCTTCGAGTGACGGGTGTTGTTTTGAACGACCAGGGTTGGACTGGGTTTTTTGACTTCTGTTTTGTTTGCTTTTGGAATTTTTTTGTGTACTGCTGGTCAGCGAAAAATTTGATTTACTTGACGACTTGGAAGAACCTTTTTTTTGAAACACCGGACGTTTGCCTGATAAGTTATTGTTTTAGTTTCATTCTTTTTAATTTTTTCTATTTCTTTTGTTTGTTTTTAATTTGTTTTTGGGCTTCGGCCCACATTTTTTCCTTTTTTAGTCCGGTTTGACAAAGTCTTACCGGACGACTGCTTTTTTATTTTTGTTTATTTTTCTATCAGTTTTAAAAAAAGCGGAACAGTTTAGACAAGAAAAAAGAAAAAGAACCTTTTTGTTTAATTTTTTATTTTTTTTAGCGACTTCAGTCGCTTTCTTTCTCCTTTTTTGTTTACGTTTGACTAGTTTATTTTTCTTTTAATTCATTTTCTTTAGCGGCGTCAGCCGCAAAACTTTATCCTTTTTATTCTTTTTTTTAGTACATTTGAAAGTTTTTGTGAAAAAAGAGGGAAGTTTTTGGTTTTTCTTTTATTTTCGGCTGCCTTCGGGCGCCATTTTTTATCTTTTTTTTTTTTTTGTTTAAAAAAGACTTACCTGTTTATTTTCTTTCCGGTTTTCATTTTTTATTTCCTGGGTTATCCAGGCTTTCTTTATTTATTTTATATTTTTTATTTTCCCCAACTCCCCTCCCGTGATTGTGAAGAATTTGAAAACCCGCAGGTGGTAGTTTCCACATTTTTTTTTACAACATGGCCGACGGCAATAGTCAGGCCAATGTGAAAAAAAGACCTGTTTGGTTCGGCAAATAAAGCCGACCACTCTGAGAAGAAAACTGAAAAGCGGGCTGATGGAAGCCCAAAAACAGACAAGAGCATCTCCAAAAAGGAGATGCTTCTAAACCAGACCAAGTGCCTAAAGAGACGCAAAATAAGACGAAAGAGGAGTTGCCCTCTTGCTGGAAGTCCCCCTAGTTGTATTCTGAACATGGCGGATTTCCTGGATAAGGCGAAAAGTTACGCCCATCTTGTTAATAAAGATGGGTTCGTCGATGATGTCCGGAACTCGATATGTTCTCAAAGAGAATGGTGACCGTTTTTGTGGTCGACAAAAAACCCGAAAGATTTGTCGCTCCACAAAAGACACTGTGATCAAATCACTTTTGTCCCTGGGGATAAAACCCCAAAGAGTTATTAAGGGTACGGGTTTTTTCATGTGGGACATTCTGCTGCCCACACCGGAAGATTGCCTGGCCATGGCCAAAAAAAGAATTAATCACGAAGGATTTTATAATAAGAACCGAATATGAAGGCCGCAGGCGGACCAGGGTGGCCGTTTTGAGGTTCCTCCTCAAATTCGGGAGAGCTCCTGGCTGCATTTTTTTTTATGCAGTACGGCCAGATTTTAGGGGCTCTCTCCGACAATCTGAACGGGGGATGGACTTTCGATATTATGCTTGACCAGAACGCCTTCAAGTCCGTCCCCAACTGTTTGGTGTTAGGCGACGGAAAATGCCGGTCATAGTGACTGGTAGGCGTCCGACTTGCTGGAGGTGTGGAGAGACTGGTCACCTTTCCTCCTCCTGCCCAGGGAAGAAGGCCCCTGGAGTTCCGGTCGCAGGTGACCAAAATCCCCCCCTTGGCCGATAAGGAAAAATCCATGGCGCCTGTAATGGGCCTAGCTGCGAGGCGGACCGATGGGCAAAGTCCCTCGGTTGGGTCCCAACCCTCATTACCCCGAGACCAACGCCTGCCACAAGTGTGGATAAGGAGAAGGACGAGGGGGAATGGCGCTCGTAGTTAGGGGCAAGGGAAGAGACAAACAGCGGTTCCTCAGTCCCAACATGACACCAGGGACAAAGTCACCTACAGCCCCATTCCCTCTGTCAGCTCTGAGGGCGACGCCTCGGCGCCCTATGAAAAAAAACGCCAGCGATACCAAAAAAGCTAATGAGCCGAGCTGGAAAAAGATCCTAGATTTAAAAAAGTTAAAAAGAACAGTTGGATGCTAAGCGGGATAAAAACCAAAAAATCGCTGGGGCACCGCCCCTCTACTCTCTGCCCCGTCTTCCCCTACTTCATCCAAGAAAAAACCTTTTGTGAAACCTCCTCCACCTAAATCTCTGTCGAACTCTCCGACGAAATCTTTCTACTCATCAAAACCTTCACCTGTGAGGACGCCGGGCATGACACCCTCTACTACTCCAAACATCACACCCATCTCAACTCCTATCCAGTCTCCACAAAAGAAAAGGGTAAGGAGCCCAGATTCACAAGTTGTCACAGAAAAAAAAAAAAAAAAAAATCAAGCCACCATATCTCACAGGGGAAGACGTCTGCCGCGTATCCCGGGAGCAGGCGGAAAGGGTCTTCGGTCAAACGAAGAACCCGAAGCCCTTGAAAGTCTTGTGGAATTTCCGGCACATCAGGGGTGGATGTGGATGTGGAGGTGCCGGAAAATTTCCACAAGGCAAAAAACCAACTTAGCGTCATAAGAACTGGCCCTGGGTACGCGGGAGATCTGGGGCATGGTAGAGGAGGCAAAATCATCCTTGAAAGTGGTGCCCCAGCTGTCGTCCTTCTTGAGGAAAATTTGGATGAAAACAAAAATTGTAAAGGGAGGGTCCCTGTTTATGTTCACCCATCCCTATATAGAGCCCTTAAATTAACCTATCCTGCGGACATGGCGGCTTGTCCCAGGATGACACGCTCGATACTGAGATGGTGTCTGGCTCAATGGGACAAGCTGTGGGTGTCCTCACCCCAGCCATGTTCTATCCTGAAGGGCAACCCTAATCGGCTTCACAATGGCTCTCTGGTTAGCTAGTTTGAATGCCGGGGCCTGAGGTCCGAGTCTCGCAGGGCGAGGCTCTCGTGACCTTCAGCGCCTCGGGGTGAATATATGTTGTTTACAAGAGACCCGGTTTTCTTCTCATGATCATGAGGACATACTGTCTAGGGGTTCGCCCTTTATTCAGCTTGTTTTGATGGTTGTTCGAGGGGTGTCTCTTGGCTAGTGAGCAGGTCTTTGAAGGCTGCATGTACCCTTGTCTTCGCGGATCCGGCGGGCAGGCTTTGCGTGCTGGATGTTACCATAAAGGATAAGCTTCTTCGTCTCATTGGGGTTTATGCGCCCAATATCCATTCCGAGCGGCCTGCTTTGTTTCTGGCAGATCGCGCCGTTCTTGACGACGTCTCGTCGGGTAGTTTTAGCGGGGATTGGAATGCCGTCCTTGACCCCGATATAGATCGTATAGGGCACAAAAAAGGTACTAAAAACCGGATGTGAAACCATTTCGGGACTTTATCGATGGGTTTGATCTCATCGATAAGTTCGGAATGAACACCCTCGGGAGGTAGTATGGACTTGGACAACTAGTGGCAGCTCGGCTCCTGCTCGCTTAATTGCGAGCTACCTGGACCGAGTCTTAGTTAGGAGAGTCGATGTAGGGCTCTTAGGGTGTCCAAGTTTCCATTATATAGTTTATACGGATCATAGGCTTGTCCGGGTCCGTGTAAACTTAGATAAGCCTAAGGTTAGGTTGGCTGGTTACTGGAAATTGAACTGTTCGCTTTTCAGTGATCAGGGGTTTCGGGACCAGCTGCTACTAACGATCCAGAGGGAATTGAGGGGCGGTTGTGGGAAATGCCTGGTGGGGAAATTTAAAATCTAAGATTCGAAC